TGACAGCTCCCTCAATTAGCCATCTCATAATTCGTCTGGCCGGGTCTCCGTGGCGAGGACATCTGGAAGGGCCCGCACTGGACAGGGATGACTGGACACAGTGCTGTATCTACTGTCCAGTGGTACAGGATCATTCACTCACCCTCATGTCTTTCCAAACCTGCATGAATTTCTATTGTGGAACAAAGAAGAATATATTTTTAAAAAATGTCTCGGTGTTTCTATTGTTCATACAATGAAAGTCAGTGGGGTCCAATGTGGTTTTGGACCCCATTGGCTTTCATTACATGGACAAAAACTGTCGAAACATTCTTCAAAATACCTTCCAAAAAAAGACATACAGTTTTGGAATGACCTTTTGCTCACCGTAATGATGCCATACATTTAGTTGTGGAGAACTATCCCGTTAACTAATGATGTGATGATGTGTTTCCACAGTTATAAATAGACAGAAATAGACAGCTGTCTCATTTACACGCAGGCGCAGAACGCTCATGCTAGTTGACAGTCGGCTGCAGTTCTCTCGGTGTGTTCAAGTGCGGCTTTTTTGCCGCGACGCGAGGCGACAACACAGTCGGCATTCATCAGTGCGAGTTCTTCGGCGGTTTGGTGTGTCCCTACCCTAAACAAACACCACTCAAATGCACAGCAATTCTCACTCTTAAATCAATGTCAGGCACAGATAGAAGGTCAGGTCATGTCTGTCACATCTCTTGCCAGAGTCACCCCAGCCAAGGCGTCACATCAGGCTCCTGCTGCCTGCTGAGCTTTGTCAGTATGCGAAGTTTAAACAAATGGCAGCTTTCAATTGCACAGCCCTGCCAAACTCAAACTACATCTGCCTCTGGCTGGCAGGTGCATCCCATATAGAACACACTCTCTCAAATTATAGACATCACGCATATTTCAGCAGCTGGCTTAAGAGTGACACAAGCGGATTGTTTTATCACGCCACCACAATATATAAAACCAGGCATTTGTCATTGTTTGCTTACCTTGCTTTAAATTAGGGATGCCAAAAGTAATGGTAATAATTTATATTTTATACATTGTTTATATATATGCTAACAACAGACCCATTAACACGCTCAGTGTTCTGACAGTCTATATTCCCCGGTGTTTTGATCCAATGGCAGTAACTGAATCTGTGACTCAAAGATGCTGTTCAAAGCCCTACATTTCCACTCGATTAAACCAGCCCACAGGTGATGTGAGCAGTAACATGAGACCCTAAAGGTTATCCCATAAGATTTCAAGAAACTTTTCACATTTCCTTCTCCTCAGCCGGCTGTCTTGTCTCCATAGATGCACTGAGGCTGGTGGACATATGTTGGCTCTCTGACTAGCCCCAGGCATTAGGAGAACACAAGTGGAGAACACAGCAGTCAAATCTGCATTACTAGTGCAAAGAGAGATTGCAGCACTGTCGAAACCACACCATATAAATTGAATGCAACTTCCAGTAAGGGATTACGACATCAAACAATTTATTAAAATGTAACATGTCAAAGTTTGCAGCATTGTGGATAATCTCTCATTTAATGTTTTTACTGACAAGTATTACATACTTGGGCTTTTCCAAACAAATTGCCAGAGTGCAAATTCCCCCAGAGACACTGTCAAACTTAAACTCAGTTCATACTGACAGGAACCTGCATTGACATAGCAACCGGAAGTTATTAATTTTCAGTAAGAATTTGTGATTTTCAGCAACTAGTGTCCAGTGACTCTCAGAGTTTTAGAGGGTGCAGTGAACCATTGATGCTCATTTCACATTTCAGTGTTCTGTACCTGATCTGCTTCATTCATTTTGATATTGATTTTTCAAATTTTTTATGTTGCAACCTTCTGCTAAAATTAAGTAATCTAAGCTTAGCAAGACAATGCTTTATCAAACATGAAACAAGACAGTCACAAAGCATTGTTTGCTTAAAATCGCAATCAAGACTTTTGTCTTAAAATGATAAAGCAAGTCACATATGATTATTTCCATCCACATAATGTGCATCGATATAATAAAAAAAGTGTGGAAAACAGTGCCAGAAATTGTCTGCATTCTGAGTGAGTTAGATTCATGCATTGATAATTTTATATATGATGTGATTAGTATAGATATCGGGACATATTTTAAGGTTTACGATAATGAGGATTATCATATAGCATTATAGTGATTATTGAGATAGCATAATGTAATTGTAAGAAACTATAATATCAAATAAATATTATCAAAACAAATGAATTATTATTAATTTAACTGTTAATGGCAGCGGATATATGGGGTAATATGTAAGCAATAAGGTACGAGAGGCTGTGCTGTATCGTGAATAAGTAACGGCTGGAGGGCGTTGTTAGGCACGACGCGAAGCGGAGTGCCTGCAACCCCTTCAGCCGTTACTTATTCACGATACAGCACTTGCCTCGAGTACCTTATTGCTTTTATAAAACGGTTGCCACACAATAAAAATATTAAAGCCGAAAAATATGTATCTATGCAACTTTCATGAAGTAAAATCACTAAAAGCCTGCCTTCCGCTGAAAAAATAGTCCCGGAACGTGAACAGCAACAGAAGTTACATATATTATTTCGCCAATAGATGGCGGCAAAGACTGTCTTTATGAGTGAGTGAGTGAGTGAGTCTGTAGAGAAGGCTTTTGAAAGGACTCGAACTTGTGATCACGGAGAAGACAGACGCAACTGACAGATGACTAACGTTATGCACGGAAAACCCCATGACTGTTAAAAGGACAAAATATGCAGCGGACATTCAAACGCATTTTTTTATTATGAATATAGGACTGACCTGAAGGAAAATGCTACGTCTACTGTACAGTAAATGCAGGTACACTCGCTTACTCGATCTCTCACAATGCTCTGCTCTAGCTTTAAATGAACAATATCAATGAGATGAAACATCTGTTTAAGTTGCTAAGAGTGGTTGCTAGGGGTGTTGTGTAGTGATACATAGAACCGTTGGGTGAAGCGGTCATAGCCGTGTTTTATCGTGAATAAAGCACAGCTATTGACCAATCAGAATCAAGGATTGGAACTAACCGTTTTATAAATGGGAAGGAATTGGGGGTGGGAGCAAATAAGTTATACTTCTTTCTACTCCCTTTCGAGCAACTATTATTATAAGTGTAAATAATGTGTGTGTATATGTGTATATATTTATATCTATGTATATGGGAGATAAGCTGTGCTATGTTATTTTTATTTTTTATTTGTATGTGTATGTGTGTTAATATATATGTATATATTATTTTATTTTATTTTCCTCAAAATAAACTTCAATCAATCAATCAATCAATAATCATTCATCTAGTTCATGATATGATGTATTATACAGTTCAGCTATATCCAAATGGTTCTCCCTGCAGAAATAAAACGTATTCCTTGTCAAAATAGACTGGCATTTTATTTTTTACTGGCAATATATTTGCAGTTACACAGCAAACCAATAACGTTAGGGCATCCAACGGCAGAAACGCATTCTAGCGACCAACAGACTGAATGTGAAAATATGGTTTTAAACCTAGGGAAAAATATTATTAAAAACAGACAGCTAGGTTTAGTTTAATAGTAAAAAACAAAACAAAAGAAAGCCTTGCATTTTTGAGAGACTGTGGGCACTTTTTTATGAAGATGTCAACTGTGATGAAATCAAATTGGGTTCGGATGCTAGAGGGGGATTAGTGATCACTGGGGTTTCAGATTAAAGAAAACCCCAGAGCAAAAGCAGACACAGGTCACACTGAGTTCACACATCCAGCCTGACATCTGGATTGCTGTTGGTCACTTGAAATCTCACAATCATTTGAGAGACTCTTATTTGTAAAATATTTTCAAATCTCAGCTTGAATGCTGAGCAGTTATAAATTTGGTTATAAATAATAAATACTCAATTTTCAATTTTTTATATGTTGTACAATAACATGATAGCCTACTTTCATAGCACATGCAATGATTTACTCTCGCTCTACATCAGATTAAATCATTCAAATTCAATTAATCATTCTTTTCCCCATTACTGCTGTTATTGCCTCACAGTGATAATAAAAAGCAAATCAGACACATCCTGTCAGGGCATCTGAGGATAACCATGTTGTGACCCACAGAGAAAATAACAAATGAATATTGATTCTTCTGCTGACAGCCTCCTTGATACATGAAAGAGAGTTTTATTTACTGATAAAGCGAGCTGCTAATTTAAAGATAGATAGATCGATAGACTGGATAGAATGACACGACAGACAGAAGTACAAAGATAGAACAACAGACAGAGTAACAGACAGCCAGAATGACAGATAGACAGACACACAGACAGATGAATAGACAGAAAGACTGATGGATAAATTGACAGACAGAAAAACAGACAAACAAAATAACAGACAGATAACGGCAGACAAAGATACACAGATATGACGACAGACAAACCAATAAAATGGCAGAACAACAGACAGATAGACAGAACAATAGACAGATAAAACAGCTGACAAACATATCAATAGACAGGAAAAAGACAGACAGATACACAGACAGAGAGATAGACGGGTAGAATGACAGACAGAACAATTGACAGACAGAATGACTGTCAGACAGACAAAGGGAGATAAATGGATAGAATGAAAGACAGACAGAACGACAGAGAACAAAAGACAGAAAGAAAGTACAAAATACTAGGGCTGTGCGATTAATCAAATTTTATTTTCATTTCGATTTTGGTTTCCAACGATTATGAAAAGATGGTAATCGAGGTAACATGATAATTGTGCCGCATTCTGTCTAGCGAAACTGCCTTTCTCACTGACACACTTTTGTTCTTCCTTAAGAGCCCAAACGTATCGGTCAAATCAGCTAAATCAGTCATTTTATTGTCATAAAATGTAGTCTAATTTTGCTAAACTGTGGAACATGTTTGATAATAAAAAGAGTTATTAAACATGTATTAAGTATGATTGATAGATGGACAGACAGACGGAGTATGCACTTGCACGCTGACCTGTGCTGCTCTGGATGGTTCTGACAGTAGTAGTGGTCCTTGGGGGGGAGGCAGGGAGCAAAGGTCCCTCGTCGTCCTGCGAGCAGCCCTGGTCGATGGCACGCACATAACTGTGACTCCTCATGCGGAAGCACCCGGGCATGGGCAGGTCCAGGGCGTCCATGGCCTGCGACTCCATTTCACTGAACACACTCTCACACACTGCCTCGATTTGCCCGTTCACTTCCACCTCACTCACCTGCAGGCATGCAGAGGAGAAAAGAGCAGAGATACAGACAGAGATAAAAGACAAGAAATGAAAATTAGAAAAGAGCAGTCAGGAGAAACAGAGAAGGCAGTGCTCAGAGAAAAGAGCGGGTATCATCCGTAAAATGAGCTCCAAGTCCCACTTACCACAGGGTTATATAGGGGTGCAAAAACAGAGCAAGAAACTACAGAGAAGTCATTAGGAGCAGGTGAGAAACACACAAGGCAGTGGCAAGAAGAGGAAGAGTCAATAAAAAAAGAAACATAGTGAGGCTTGAAAGACAACTTTACAGGGTAAATAAAGGTGTACGCCACACCAGCATGGAGGAAATCCTCAAGTGGGGTCTACTGACAGGGTGGAATATGGTGAGACAGTACTAGGATCAACATGTTCATTAGTGTTGATCCTAACAGAAACCAAGGGTGGATGAGAGCAGGGGAAAATGGAGACGTGATAAGGGACAATTGTGGAAAGAGGATTGTAGGAAGGGTGGGTGTTTTGGACATTGTAGAAAGCTCAAAACTCTGTCCCAATCACCCATGAGAGCTATATGGACCATATTCTTATTTACTAACTGTCAAGTTAACAGTCATGTGCCATCCACAAAGTCTTTACAGGAAGGTCTAAAGCGTTTTAATGTTAATATTTCAAAACATTCCTTGTGAATTTAGTCTTTTCCATCTTCTATCAGAGAGCAGTCAATGCTGGCACAAAATGGCAGTGATGTCATCTTTGCCATGTTATAATTAGCATGACAAAGCAGTGCTTGGGGACTAAGTGTGCCTAAGATGGATGAGTAACTGCCTGATGAATGCCATCCAACGTCTATGTAACATGGAGCATGTTAGTTGGTTAGACACATACATCTGTGATTGAACACTGTTATGGTGATGGCTCAAATTCATCTCATAGGTGGATGAATCAGATGTCGGTTTCATGGTTTTTAACTGGACTTGTTGGACTAATCTGGGTGGATTTTGACCTTCCTTTCCCTGCACCCCACTATGACGGTGTGTTTGGGGGTGAGCACAAACCTGGCTGATGGTGCTCATAGCCCTCATGTAGCTCTCGTTGCGTGAGCGGTATTGGGGAGAGGCTAGCAGAGCTTTGGGGTCCAGGGTGTCCAGGCTCCTATTGATGGAAACTTCACTCACCGCCCGCAAGTAGCTGTGACTCCGGATCTGCAGCTTTGGAGAGTGCTCTGAAGAGATCCTGTGAATGGATGAAAACACAAGAGATATTTATTTTTTTATAACCACACTACTAAGTATATAATTTTAAATAAATAATATTATACATTATTTTTATATTATACTTAGATTTTTGTGTAATATTATACATAATAATTAGGGGTGTAAATAAATACCCTCATGTCACAATGTGATACATATCACAATACTGAACTCAAGATACAATATTATTGCGATACTCCAAGACATATGGTAAAAGGTTAACAAAAAATGTACTGTTGATTAAAATGCTAAATTTGGTATTACATTGTGGGTGTAAATGATTAGGCTTGGACTTAGTACTGGTAACCCAATGCACAAGACAATGGTGACACCAGAATAACAATATACACGATTCTGAAGCTTAAAATAAAGAATTATTTTAGACGAATATGCTTGCACTCTGTCACTGACTAACAGCAGCTTGTTAAACAGCTTCTTTCCCATCAGACTGCTCAATCACAGAACGTGAATTGTACTTTTTTTTGTTATCTTTTAAAAATTAGAACTATTTATGTGTACTTTAGTATATTTATTAGTATTTTTATTTATTAGCTGCTTATTTTATAATAAATTGTTTTGCACTGAATTACTGAGTGGATGTGTGAAACAGAATTTCATTTTTATGTAGACCATAAAAATGACAAAAAGGAATCTCTAGATATATTTAAAATAAATGTAGGCCGCTTTTTACTGGTAACATAAGAAATTTGGCATTATCAGGATAGTCCCCCATTGCATTAATATACATTATATTCAACATTATATATAGCAGTTTAATGTAGTACTGACACTAAAACTCGGAAAATCAGAATTTTTTCCTCACACAGAAATTGTATTTTGGATGAATTATACACAATACATATTGTCACTATCCACGATACATATTGTAGCATTTTTGTATTGCCATATATTGTGACACGATATATTATTACACCCCTTTTAAGAATATATACATTATTAAATGAAATATTTTATACAAATAAACGAATAACACATTTTTTACAACAGATTTGTTTATTCTATTATTTTATTTAATATTTAAATAATATTTATTAATCAATTAAATTTTTTAAATATTAATTTAATTTATAGTTAGGACCAATCATTGGACTACATCTATGGCGTAGAATGTCTGTGTAAAACATATTTTGCATGAACTAATTTGCATTTATTTCTAATTTGTTATACGTGTTATATCAAAAGAAACATTAGCTAAATAGATAAATAATTAGATAAGTAACTAACGAAATAAATGTGCTGTATTATGAAAACAGCTCAAAAAAAGGCATGTGGGTCTGTTGGCGGCACACAATTTAGTTTCTCCATGTAAACGCATGGTTGAATGACAATAAAGATGAGACATTTTTGGCAAAAAAACACACTTTAAAGTAACAAGAGACAGACGTGGCTCAGGTCATTCTTCTTTAGATGACATGATGCAAACTGAGAAATTTCATTCAATCAAATGTGTAGCATGTTCTTTAACATCACGAGTTGAGTTCTGAGTCGAGCATTTAGATGGCATGCTATCAAAGTCAGTTCATCAGGGGGACGTGGGGAAGCCGTGAGAAAATCAAACGCTCATGCAGGATTTCTGCATGTGTCCAGTGAACAGGGGCATACATTATGGATGTGGCTCTTTAAATAGATAAAGGAATGGTTCATTCAGATCAGGTGGGGCGAGTGCAGCACACGGGCAAGGAGAGAAACAGCTAAACTCACTTAAGGCCACCCACGCAGACCAGCACACACATACCAGAGACTCACGCTGACACTTTGCTGACAGGCAGACACCTTGCATCCGCATCAGCAGTATGGGAATTAGTGGAAGCTCCGACATTGGCGTAGTTTTCCCACCCTCCATCTGCATGGCTTCACACATACATAAGTGAACACAACAACTCCTCACAAAGCGGTGCGTTCCAAAACGCCCCAGGGCATCTCCCTACACTACTGGAGAACAGAATGTCTAAACTTCAGAAGAAGTGCTAAGGGGGGGGGGGGGGGGGGGGCATCTCCCTCGGTGAACCTGGCTCTGGGGAACTGGTTATGCATGATGTCATCGTTGCGGAATAAGCCGATAAGTTTCCGCCTCACTGTTGCGGTCATCTTAACGGATTGGTCGCTGTGCGGTTGTTAATTACGTCAGCCATTCACAATGCAGCGCTGTGCCTCACGTACTACTTTCTACTGCAGTGGCAGCTCCCCGAGGCATCTAAGACTGTCTATTTTCATGCTTCACAAAGATACGGAATTGTATCTGATGATGACTAATGTACATGGAAGTTATTTAGTGTTCTGAACTATAAAATAAGCAATGGCCAACTTAATGTAAAGAACACGCTCTATAAATATAGACATCAAGCACTCGCTTATTTTTATTAATCATAAAAAAAATTAAAGGTCAAAGCACTGCCCCCTGGCATATAATCAGGGCTTTATTTAGTTCGAAGGATTGCGACAGTACGCTAAAGCAAACAAACCTCCTTTGCACATGCAGATGTAACATTGGCATTCAAAGCTTTTCTTCGTCAATAAACAGATAAAACCATCAAAATGCGGATTGAGGAAATTCCACAAGATGAAATATTTATGAGTGCTCATAATGCCAGAACAGTATTACAAATCTGCAAAATCCTCCAATCCTTGTCTGGGCTTTCCAGTGGGCTTAGGGTGGAATCTCAGAGCACTTTTGTAGAGCTTGAGCAGATATGAATCTGAATTTGAAGCAAATAAATTACACAGTCTGACATCTAGGATTGACAAAACGGCAGTGGTAATCTCACGAATAAAATTACTGAAGAAAACATCATTGATGAAAGTGAGACGAACAATGTGCATCATGACAATAAGTATATATATTTTTTTAAATAAAATTTGTGTACACTCAAAATAAAAACAAAACATTGTGCTTTTGTAAAATAAAGAAAACAAACAGGATTACGCTTTCTGCCGTCCCAGTTTCCTTTTTGTGAAGTTAGTGGAGTGCATCCCAAAAATTAATCAAAACTCAGCGCAGCCTACTAGCAAGCTCTTGCGTGCCATCTGAACTCTTGGGGTGCTTCTCAATATTCAAATTGATGCTTTCTCGTTTCCTCGCTCCTCCAGCCTGTGACCCAGAAACCGATCAAAGCTAGCCATCTTGAAGGACATCTCAATTCTCTAACTGCACACGAGGAGGCGAGGAAGGAGGAGTGAGGAAGCTTCCAGAGGAGCTATGAGCGAGGATGCACAGGTGTATCCTATGTGGAAGACGTTCTTGTTGAGAATCCTGACGCACATATAAATTCTCCACCCCCATCACATCTGCCACAATTTTAATTTATGCTTTACCATTACAGTTTAAATAACTCTTTTTACATATATATATATATATATATATATATACACTCACCAGCCACTTTATTAGGTACACCTGTCCAACTGCTCGTTAACACTTAATTTCTAAGCAGCCAATCACATGGCGGCAACTCAGTGCATTTAGGCATGTAGACATAGTCAAGACAATCTCCTGCAGTTCAAACCAAGCATCAGTATGGGGAAGAAAGTTGATTTGAGTGACTTTGAACGTGGCATGATTGTTGGTGCCAGAAGGGCTGGTCTGAGTATTTCAGAAACTGCTAATCTACTGGGATTTTCACGCACAACCATCTCTAGGGTTTACAGAGAATGGTCCGAAAAAGAAAAAACATCCAGTGAGCGGCAGTTCTGTGGGCGGAAATGCCTTGTTGATGCCAGAGGTCAGAGGAGAATGGCCAGACTGGTTCGAGCTGATAGAAGGGCAACAGTGACTGAAATAACCACTCGTTACAACCGAGGTATGCAGCAAAGCATTTGTGAAGCCACAACACGCACAACCTTGAGGCGGATGGGCTACAACAGCAGAAGACTCCACCGGGTACCACTCATCTCCACTACAAATAGGAAAAAGAGGCTACAATTTGCAAGAGCTCACCAAAATTGAACAGTTGAAGACTGGAAAAATGTTGCCTGGTCTGATGAGTCTCGATTTCTGTTGAGACATTCAGATGTTAGAGTCAGAATTTGGCGTAAACAGAATGAGAACATGGAACCATCATGCCTTGTTACCACTGTGCAGGCTGGTGGTGGTGGTGTAATGGTGTGGGGGATGTTTTCCTGGCACACTTTAGGCCCCTTAGTGCCAATTGGGCATCGTTTAAATGCCACGGCCTACCTGAGCATTGTTTCTGACCATGTCCATCCCTTTATGGCCACCATGTACCCATCCTCTGATGGCTACTTCCACCATGTCACAAAGCTCTAATCATTTCAAATTGGTTTCTTGAACATGACAATGAGTTCACTGTACTAAAATGGCCTCCACAGTCACCAGATCTCAACCCAATAGAGCATCTTTGGGATGTGGTGGAACGGGAGATTCGCATCATGGATGTGCAGCCGACAAATCTGCGGCAACTGTGTGATGCCATCATGTCAATATGGACCAAACTCCCTGAGGAATGCTTCCAGCACCTTGTTGAATCTATGCCACGAAGAATTGAGGCAGTTCTGAAGGCAAAAGGGGGTCCAACCCGTTACTAGCATGGGGTACCTAATAAAGTGGCCAGTGAGTGTATATCTCACATATTTCAAAAGGCCATCTTGCTTTATTATTATTTATACATTTCTTAAATAACCAGACTTCAACAACATAAGGGCAGATCCTTTGAGCGCAGCAGATGACACTTTGAAGTGACACTCGAGTGATCAAGAATATGCCAATATACAAATAAACTTTCCTTCGATTCCTCCGTCCTCATTTTCTTTTCTCTGCATCCTTCCCTCGCATTCTCCAATGAAAGGAAACGAGGATGCACAAATAAGAAATGAGAAGCACCCTTGTTTTGGGTTGGTGCAAAGATCGTCTCTTCTTCTTGTGCTCTTTCCTGTTGTGGAGGTTAGCAAACATTATTGCATTACCACGCACGCCCCCTTCTGGATTGGAGTGTGGATCGCCTG